ACAACTTTATTAGAATATAAAAAGAAAGTATATTAAATAAAATTAAAGATGTTTTAAAAAAAAATAGACAAAAAAAATTAAATTTTTTTTAAATATTTTATTTTGTTTAATTTGATTGGTTGACCCGAATTTTATCAGGTCAGGTCATAAGCTTGACCTGACTTGATGTTGACCTGAAAATTTGTCTACCCGACCTGATTTTTTGAGTCAGGTCAGGTCAGGTCACAGGTTGACCTGACCTGATTCAGAGCTCTATAGATATCACCTCTACTATTATATATAACAATAATTTTACTACTATATTTATACTTTCTTCTCCTCTATTTTTTACTTTTACTTCACAAATTTTATTTTCACATACTTATACAAAAATTATTGATAATGATTTAAAGTTATTGCCTATTGAAAATAGTTCTATCATCCTAAAACATAATACCTTAACATTTATTACTCATTAATGTTTATTGTTTACAAGATACTGTCAAAAATTAACAAATTTTAGATACCTTTGAGAAAAAGAAGACTGAATTATTGGTTTCACTGAAACTTGACATAAACCTATCCAACCTTATTATTGTTACTTAGATCCAAATTTTGATTCCTTTTTGAGTACTCAAACAAATAATAATTCAAGAGTCAGTTTCTTGATCAGAAAAACTGCTCCGATTGGAAAATCCTACATAATAATATACATTAAACTTTTACATACAGATGAATTTTATTATAATGAATTATAATATTAATTTTTATCGAAATCGAATTAATATTGGATATCTTTTACTAGAAGTAACTGATTGTAAGTATAAATTTTTAATGTTTATATTAATATAATTTATTTATAAACTATTCAAAAGTTGACTCAAAGCCATCTTTTGTGTTGTTTAAAATTTTATTGTCATAATTTATATTATATTCTATATAACCTAAAATGTGAAATATAATTGTCGATATATAGTCAACCCTGGTTATAACGAACCTATATGTACTGAATTCTCGTTATACTAAACTAAGGTTCCCAGAACTGATTTTTTATAGTCATTTACACTGGATATAATGAACTTTATTAATAAACTCTGTATACTGAATACCGAACTTATCATAATGGCCTGTGTATATTAGTTATATATTTGCTATAATGAATGTCACGTGATTAGTGATTGATTAAAAATTATATGATCTTTTGATAATTTTTTTTTATCTTATCTCCTTATCTATTTACTTTAAAATGTCGACAAAGAAAAGAACCATTCTTATTGCAACACAAAAACGTAAAATTTGTAAAACAAAAGAAAAAGAACCAAACTTTCTAATGTAACTCTTGTACAAAAAATATAATATTAGAAAATCAACAGTTACTGACATTTTAAATAAAAAGAAACGCTGGCTTGCAATTTCAGGAGACCAAGAAAAAATTAAAAAATTTTGTGATTCTAAATGGCCTCAACTTGAAAATGCACTTAGTTTCTGGGTTGATAATGCACTTAATATAAAACAAAATATTAATAGTAATATCTTAAAAACAAAAGCAGATTTTTTTGCTTAGCGGTTTTCTATAGAAGATTTTCATCAATCAGAGGGATGGTTAACTGGCTTTAAAAAAAGACATGGATTGCGTTAATTTCAAAAGTAAGGTGAAGCTTTAAGTGCTCCTTCTACTAAATTAATAGAAAATGATTGCATTGCCTTACAACTATTTCTTAAACACTATGACTCTGAAAATATTTGGAATGGAGACAAAACTGGTCTCTTTTGAAAAATGAAACCTTCTAGAGTTTTGGTACATGGCCTTATATCTGGTCATAAAAAAGAAAAATCTTGCATCACTATATTTTACGCAGCAAATGCAATAGAAACCAAAAAATGGCTCTTACTTTTATTCACAAATACAAAACCCCTCATCTCATGAAAAATCTTAATTACAAAATCCTTTCTGTTTCTTACTTTTGGAATAAAAAATCTTGGATGCAAGTTAGTATTTTTAACGAAGTTATTCTTAAGCTTAATGAAAAAATGAGGTGAAAAGGACGTAAGATTATTCTTTTGCTTGATAATGCACCAGTACATCTTATTTTAGATGAAACTCAAGAAAAATTAGATAGCATTGTGATAAAATTTCTTTCATCAAATACTACTACTGTTCTTCAATCGTGTGATGCAGGAATCATCCATTCATTTAAATGTCATTATAAATGTCTTTTTGTTCAAAATTGAATTAATACATATGATAATGTGTAAGATGGTATTGTGGAAGAGCTTGCTGATTATAATATCTATGATGCTTTACAAAATTTAGCTGAAGCATGGTCTATGGTATCACCTCAAACAATCTCAAACTGCTGGAAAAAAACAGGAATTCTTCCATCAAATAATGATGATGAAGATGTGTTTGAAAATGATTTTATTTTTGATGAGGATATGTAAGTTTTTAACATTAATATCAAATACAATGTGAATGATTTTAATAATTATGTTTTCTTTTAGTTTTAATGAAGATGATGAAGAACTTGAAAGGTTAATTTCCCTTCTTCCAAAAGGTGATCTTAACACACAAGAATATATTCACATTAAAGATAAAGCAGCAGAGGGTGGGCTTACTGATGATGAAATAATTGATGCTATATTAAATGTAGATAGGGAAGAGGAACATGTAATAGACGAAATTATTTGTGCCAGTATTAGAAAAAGTTAGTCTAGTAGAAGCGGAAAATGCTGTAGACAAAATTATAAGATTTTTATATGAGCAAGCGGCAAAATTTGGGAAAGTAAGCAATGAATTAAAAAATTTAAAAGGGTTACATAGACGAATTAAGGTTTTAGTTGGAAATAATCTTAAGCAAGGCAATATTCAAGATTATTTTAATGATAATATCTAATGTAATAATGTAATAGCAATTTAAAATAATAAAGACAAATCGTAAAACTTGATAATCACGTGCTTGTAATTTTATTGGCTAATTTTTTATATCGAACTCATTCTATACCGAACTGAATCTTCAGGAACGGAGGGTTCGTTATAACCAGAGTTGACTGTAGTTTGGCCATGCATTTGTGGCTTTACCCAAAACTTTGAAATCTAAAATAATTAATTTATTATGTAATTTACTTGATTAATTAGTTCAGTTCCAAAGCTAACTTATGCACAATGTCTATTCTTGATTTACTGTTTCAGAACATTATCTAAAATATCATATTTATTGGTTTGTTCAGTTCGGTGCTGCGTTGTCCGAAGCTTTAAAGTCAAGATCGGCTGATTGTATATAATGTGATAATTCAGTTATATATGATCGACAAAATGATCGACATGGTGATATAAGCATGTCGGAAATATAATTCACGTGAACTTTGCTTCGCGATGGATTGAATTAATGTAAATGCGTTCTTTTCATCCAATATCGTTAAATACTTTTTCCAGCTACAACAGAAGAAATGAACGAAATATGGAATTATGGAATTACGTGGAAATACGGTTTCCTATTATATAATTAATTTTATAATTTATATATAATTTATTTCATTTTTTTAAATATTTAAAATTCTTTACAATACGTAACATTACTTCTATCAAAGTTTCCCTCAAATTTTCCCTCGAATTTTCCTTCAAATTTCTCCATAAATTTTCCTATGTTGAAAGAGAGATTACTTTTTAAATTTAAACTTTTTATAATGATATTTTTAGAACAAGAAATGAAATTTTCTTTCCATCCCGATAAATTATCATTCTCACTATTTAAAATTAATAATTCAATAATGTTCGGACAATATTTTAATATTTTGTCAATGTTCTCCTTATTACAGGCCAAATCTATCCCTAATTGATTTAACGAAGTACCGGTTCGTTTGAATAATTGTAATAAAAGATCCTTCATCTCATCATCATTTCCATTGCAACAAATATGCAACCTTTTCATGTTAAAAGAACTATCATTAAAAGTATTAACATTATGACGAAAACCTTTACAAGAATACAAATAAAGATTTTTTAAATTTTTAAACCTTGACAAAAGATGTAAAGAAATGTTTGTAAATTGAATATTTTGTAACTTCAAAGAATATAAAGTGGAATCATGATGAGAGTGTAGATTTAAAAGTATGAGTTCAAAATATTCGTTTTGTAAATTCGATATATTAAACCTAAAGATTTGTCGTTGTGATCTAATGACATCAACGATTAATTCAATTAATTCAACGTCATACTTTTTAAAATCAAAATTAAAATCAAAATTCTTGATCTCGGTGCTATGATTCGAAATATGTTTTAATAATGATAAAACATCGAATTTAGGATCTTGATAATAAATTTTTGTTGTCATATTTGTTAAATTTGATAATGCTGATTTGATCGTGTAATTATTATATCCTTGAATGTTCATTGGCATATCGACCGAATAAGTCGTTGGATTGAATAAGAGAGAGTGTAATTTCGTAGATTTTTGTAAAAATAATTTACACAATGAAGAAGCTATTAAAGATGCTTGATACCTTTCTTCTTGATAATCTAAAGGATATTTTAAGTTCGACTTAAATGATGTGTAAATAGTACTTTCCAATTCTTTATATGATAATTCTTTCAAATATATCGGATAATTATATAATGTTTTAAATGAACCTGGGATTTGTATATTAAAGGGATGTAATAATGGATTTAATTTAGAAAATAATGAATAGTAATCCTCATCATCAAGACAAGTGATATATGTTCTTAATAATTGAAAACATGCGTTTGGGTCTCTTGAGGAATTACGACAAGAAGATTTGGGAGGCAACAAAATTTTAAATGGATTGCTCCATAAAATTGGAATTACATTCTCACACCAGTATCTATTTACGAAAAGTAATTTAAAAAGTGTTGCTTTATGTGGAATACATTTAAATATCCTTTGCATACATTCTGGCGGTAGGATGATTTGTCTATTATCGAGCATCACTTGTGATGTATTGGTAATACTTTGATTTTCTGTTTGTTTATAAAATTTTAAATTTTCTGTATGCTTTTTATAAAATTTTAAAAACAATTGAATACAAATACAAATTGGTGGCATTTTTTGTAAAAATTTAAAAAATAAAAAATAAAAAGGGAAAAAAGGGAAAAATAAAATGTAAAAGGGTGAAAAATAAAAATGAGAAAAAAACGAAAGAAAAACTACCAAGAATTGCATACATATATATATAATAAGGCCCAGGTAATTCGGATTATTCGTTGTTCATGAACAGGTGCTTATTGATATTTAATTGAAGAAATTCCCGATAAAAGGTCCTTATTGTGAATTATAAAGGAAATTTTTAATCTTTATGGCAATTTTATATGCAGGAGTTTGCATATTTGTTTTTTGATGAATCCGCAGGATATAATTAACTTTGTTCTTGAAATTAGATCTACAATAATGCTTTGTGCAAAAGAATATAGGTATTTACCCCAGTATCACAACAAAAAATTTCATCCATCCACTGATTTTTGGCCAGCGGAGGTGAAAATCTTGTGCCGATACTGACTTAAATACCTAAATTCATCATCACCACAAATAAATTTCACCCCCACGTGACCTTAGTAATTTGTGAATTTGTGAAATAAATTTTTTTTATAAATCATCTAAACCATCAAATATACTCATTTCACGTGCGAATTTGCAACTATCGGAATTGAACAGGCCCATTATTTAACTCCGAAAAAAAATATTCGTTCTGCTCACGTGATACTTAATTTAAAAATAAATATTTATATAGGGGAGGGGGGTACACGACATTTTAAGGATGCCGAAAACGGAAAGACAAATATTTTAAATCACGTGAGGCGAAAAATCTACATGATTTTGGTAGGCATTACTTTATCAAGATGTTAAACCCGTGGCAAATAATTTAATTAAGAAATACTTGTGTGACCCAACTATTGTGGGGAAAATTTTTTAAAACATTTAATTTGATATTCGTCTCCCTTTTCCTGAATCAAGAAGACAGGGCGTAGTTTGTAATTTTAATAATAAGATTTCTTAAATCACAAGGTAACTATGTTGAAATGTTTGAATTCGCATGTTTTTTTTTTAAAAAAAAATTCAAACCTTCTCTTTAACGCTAATTTTGGTTTTCACGATAATGTAATTAAGGAAAGGTGAAATCATTAATATTAGTTTAATTTATCAGTAAAAATTCTAAATTCTTTTTTTTTTCTTCCCTTTCTATAGGGTTAATTTTGTTGTTGTTGATATGGCGTCCAAGTTGAATACGGATTGTTTGGAGGAAATTTTTGGATTTTTAAAGTTGGATGGGATGGATCACGAAACAACATTACGATCATGTATTTTACATCCATGTATCTTGGTTAATCGACAATGGTGTTTTAGTGTGGTCAGATTATTATGGAGTAACCCGTGGCATTTTAGAAAAGATCTTGAATGTGTCACTCCCAGCATAATCAACACATACATTTCAACATTTTCTAAAGAATCCAAAGAAAGGTTAATAGAGAACAAGATAATTCTACCAAAAGAAGCGACAACGCAACCAACATTTAATTATGCCTGGTTCTTGAGAAATTTACATTTGTTTCATTTAGAAATGACATTAAAATCATGGTTTCAATCCTTTCAACAACAACGACAGGGTGGCGATATTACAATATCAGGAGGGATTTGTTCAATAAAGTATAAACTTGTCTTTGAAGAATTGTTAAATAATTTCTTTAGAACATCACCTTGTATATTAAAGTTAAGTATTTCTGCTTATGATAATATAACCTATTTAACAAATTCTATTGAACAAACTCCAAAATCGATCGATTGCTTAGCCTATTTACGATATTTTCGAAGTAGTGGTGATCTTCCTTCGATGCCAAAATTATTTTCCCTTCTTTCCAACATAAGTCCAAACCTTTTAAAATTACAAATTGATCGTTATATAATCACGGAAGAATTGGCGGATTTAATTAATGCTCAAAAAAATTTAAAGGAAATTTTTTTTCACAAACATCCAAGTTTAAGACATCGTCCGTTATCTTTATCGAATAATAAGATAGGTACATCGTTAATTAATAAATCAAGTTCAATTAAATTATTAGAAATTAAAGGAATTTATTTTCAAGCGCAAATGTTTTCAAATTTTGAAAATTTAAGAGAATTGTATATTAAAATCTGTGGTGGAATGAAATATACTCGGGAGGAATTATTACCCTTGGCCTTCATTTCTTTAAATCATTTACAAAAATTCTTTTGGCATTCAACTCATTACATTTACTTAGATTTGTTTCCAAACTTTTTTAGAAATAATGGAAAACATTTGAAAGATATTACCATTAAAGGGTTTATGATTTCGGATTCAGAAAATGCTGGGTTATTAATCAATAGCGTAGCGAAGCATTGTGTTAACTTGAGATCTTTCTCTGGACCGATTTTAATAGAAAATGTGGCGGAATTAACAAAGTTGTTGGAAAATTGTAATGAATTACAAAGTTTATCATTGCATCCTTCAAGGAAAAAATGTTATGGACCACAAAGGAAAGGATATTTCGATGATTTGATGAACGTTTTGATTGACCAGCAAGGCGTTCATCTATCGGAATTGATATTAGCTTACAGTTGGACCTTTAATATCGGATATTTTGAAAGGTTAATGAAGAAATTTGAAAGATTGCAAAAGAAAAAATTTAATTTTGTTTGTGATGTGAATATTTTGAGGGATCCTAAATTTGACAACATTGTAAATAGATTCGTGGAGTTGGGTATTTTAAAAGAAATCGATACCGGTTATGTTGAATTTGGTTATTAGGTTAGAAATTAGATTATGAGAAATTTTTTTATTTGTGATCATTCCCTAGATAGAGTGTTAGAAATTCCCGCTTTAAATTACGATCATATTTATTATCTATATGTATATTATTAAATTTTAATTTATTCTTTTTTTTTCATTGTATCAAAAAATATTTATAAAGTCTAATCAAAATAAGATCCACCCATATTAAAATCAAGGATGTTTTTCTTTTGATATTTGGTACAAATTTTACGGAATTTAGGAGTGACCATTATACCGGGATCGCAATGAAATTCGATAGGTTTCTCCATCATCTCTCTACTTTTCAAAAAATTTTCAAAAGGTTTCAAAGAAATCTTCCACGAATCCATCAATTTCAATTCCATCAAGGATTTTGGAGAGATATTTGTTATTACATCTAATAAATCATCAAATTCTGAAGTCATAAACAATAATCTTGAAGGATAAAATCGTAAAGACTTCAAGTGCTTGCAAGTTTCTAACAATTTGGAAAGTTCATTTACATCATCTTTCGCTATAGGACCTTCATAAGATTGTAAATTTAAACACGTGATCGTAATTGAGTCTAAAAGTAGTCTCGAATTTCCATCATCTCTCGCTCTTAACGTAATTTGACGAAGGTTTTGCCCGTTAAAGAGAATAAATCTCGAAAATATATCTAGATAAAATGATTGACTACATAACCAAGTAAATGCTTCTAACTTCTTGAAGGAAGAGGTGAATAAAGGTTCGTATTCATCTCTTGTGAACTCTATACCATCAATTTTAACTATCAATTTCTTTAAATTTTCAAATTTTGGTAATAATGGCATGGCAAAACAATAGGCTTCATACTCTAAATGAATTACCGAAGGAGAATTTTTTATGTATAGAGAACAAACTTCATTTTCGGTGGAATTCGACTTCCTGTCATGATATTGTTTAATGATAATTTTTTGAAGATTCCTTTGAGAATTAATTAACAAGGCTAAATCTTTTGTAATTTTCGCATCTTCAATGTATAATGTTTTGATGTTAAGAAGAAATTTTGACAAGCTCGAATATAATTTTTCACCATTTGATCCTGATTTGGTACCACTAAAAACTGAAACCGTTGAAAGGCATGTTTTTGCTTCGGGAATCGTTTCTATTGCATTTATCAAGATCTCACTAGCCAGATGAGTTGAATTCGTGTGTAAACCATATAAGCAACGTGATTGTGTAAAAATCACTTTAATAAATTCTAGCAACAATAATGATAGATAATCTTTTTTTACCCTTTCTCTTTTAAGCAAAAAACGAATTGATGATTCCAAACAAGAGATGTTTAGAGTTCTTAAGAATGATATATAATTGAACGTTGGTGAATCATGTAATTCAAACATTATTAAATCATTCTTTAATAAAAATTCCTTAGATTCTTGTGGAAATGTTGAAAGATAAATTTTAAGAATTGCGCAATGTAAATATTTTTCAATTTGCAATGGATTTTTCCATAGTTCTGGTATAGCGTATTGACACCAAAGTTTATTAACTAGAACACAAGAATATAATGTTTTGTAATCATCCTCTAAATATTGAAAGATTTCTATTAAACAATCGAAATTCAAATTGTACATGATTAAGAGAGAGAGAGAGAGAGAAAATCGATCGATGACGAATTTGACGTTATCGTTATTAATAATATTAATGTTGCACTTCCGCAGTAAATATAATTTGACCTCTATATAATCACCCACCAAGTCGATGATTGTATATAAAAAACTCTATACTATCACCTTTATAATTAAATATCATGTATGCAGTGATTAAGAGGGTTTAACTTAAGATTAAGGTTGCGTTATTATTAAATTTAAAAATTTAAAACAATAAAATTAGATTGCATTATTATTAAAATTTCCTTATTATTTTATAATAGCATACTTATAATTTTTTAACAAGATTACTTCAAACTTTAGCTAATAGTGATATTACTAAGTTTATGATATTGATAAATGCTATGATAATCTCTTCACAATCCATCTAAATGATCAATTAGAAAGAAATGCTATATTTTTTTTTATATTGATTACTTATTAACATTTCTGATTCAAATGCTAAAGATTTACTATTATCTAAATGAAATCAAAGATAAAATAACCAAATAATTTCAGAACTATGGTAGCTTAACATCCTTTTAACTAATGATTGCAGAATCAATTTTAACTTAAAAATTACAGTGATAATTCATAATATTCAAATTTACTACAACCATCTACTTTTAAAAAATGAAAATAGGTTTTAATATTTTTTTCTAAAGATAAAACTTCTTTCTAGTCTTTTTAATATTAGGCTGTATAAAAAAATTTTTTAGATTTTGTAATCTGATCACCTCAATTTTTACAAAAATTCATGATTTTTTTTATAGTAAAAATTTTTTCATGTGACTTTATATAATGATATAATGACATTTACTTTATTATAAAAAATTTAATATATTATAATATAAAGTATATATAAAAAATTTATATATAAAAAATAAAAACCAGGTGACCTGATTTGCAAACTTATTATAACTTATAATTTTTAAATTTTACAATTAATAAACAATAGGAATTTTAATTATATTAGTAATCTTTTTTTTTTTTGAAAATTTTACTCAAATAATAAAATGTAAAAATGTATTAATGTTTTTTTATATTATTTTTAAAAATTTTAAATAAAATTAATAAATATTTAGTTTAATATTTATTATAATTAACTTAAAATTACATGATATATAGATCAGGTCAGATCAAATGTATATTTAATTTAGGTCAAATTTATGTTTGATTTGATCTAATCTTATTAAATAGATCAAGTCAATTATTCAATTTGACCTGAACTATTCAAAGCTCTAATTGAAAGTAAAAATTCTTTACTATGTTATAAATAAAGCTCTTCATAAACTGAGCTAGCTCGCAAGCCTCATGAGTCAGCTCACTAAAGCTTGGCTTGAGCTACTATAAAATAGCTCACAAGCTGATTAATCTGACTCGTATTATAGCTTAGCTCGTAATGTAGAGGTGTAATCCGTTCAGCTGATATCCAGTCATCTGATCAAAATCTGGATTTAAATGCAATACAAATTATAATTTTTTTGATAGAATGATATACAGATTATGAAAATTTGAATAAATTATTATCAGATGTAAAGATGGGAACTGTAATTAATATGTTGCAATTAGTTTTAACCTATATATGTTGCAACTTATAATGTTACAACATATGTTGCAACTAATTTTAACTTATGTTGCAACATTTTGTAAATTTGAAATCAATTGCTGTACTATCTTTAATCAGATGATTTGTATAAATCTGTATAATCTATTTAATATGATTGGCTAATTAAAACTATAATTAGTAAATTTATTGTAAAATTGTGTTTCATTTTTTTTATATATATTGAACCAATAGTAATAATGGTTGAAAAATTATATAACAATAGTGACACTAAATTAGAACAAGACTCAAATCAAAAAAAAAGTTAAATTAAATAAAACTCGTGAAGGAAATAAAGTTAGAAGTTAGATTTGAAAATATTTTAAATCTAACTATAAAGATGGAGTAAGATATGCAGTTTGTCAAGTAAAATAGTAAATGAAAAGAAATATGAAAAAACTTATAAAACTGGTACATCTACCGGTAATTGTACTATTCATCTTGCAAATAATCATAAAATAACTGAACAAGCTAAGAAAGAAGTTAATCCTATGAGTAATTTTTTATAAAATTAATTTTATTAATTTTATAAATATAATGCTAATGATTTATTTAAATATATTAAAAGCAAATAAATCAGAATCAATATGTCATGAAAATGCTTATCAGAAAAACCTATCATCAAGAATCACGTCAACTTGAATTGTGTCAATATCTTGCAGATTGGATTTTATGTGATTCTCTATCACTTACTATTATTTAAAGTCCGGCATTTAAAAAATTAATTTCTTAATTGAATCCAAGATTTCAAATTCCAAATCCAAAATATATTAAAAAAATTATTCATCAGACATATAATTATTCAAGACCACTAATTATAAAAAAATTAGAAAAAGATGCTAATACAATATCTTTAACTTGTGATCTTTAGACAGGACAAAATCGCCAAGGTTTTTTGGGAATAACAAATTCCTATCTTGATCCATAATTTCAACTTCATAAAATTGTTCTTTCAGTTCAATATATTTCTTATTCTCATACAACTAATCATATTGAAGATATATTACTTATAGTATTAGATGAATTAGAACTTTGTGATAAAGTTTTTATGGTAACAACAGATAATAATTCAAATTTGCGAAAAGCTATTCAAGATTTAGAATTAGTAGCAAATAATATAATGTGGCAGCCATGTGTTACTCATACCTTACAACTCGTGGTTGGAAAAGGTTTAAAACCTATCAAATTATTAGTTAGCTATGTTAAATGTCTTATTGATTTTTTATGAAACTAAAGCAATCAGAACGTCTTAAAAAAATTCAAAAACAATTTATATGATCAACAAATTTAAATGAGGTTGTATTTAATATATAATTTATATTTTTTTAAGAGAATTGCTAATCTTAACCAGAGGTAAAATTACCGGTCACGTAATATAATTATCACGTAACAATTTATTTATATAATAAAATAAAATTTATTAAAGCAAAAAATTAAAATTCAAACACAGGGTCTTATTTAACAAACAAAAAGAAAATTTGCATTCTGGTTAGGCCGCTCTCTCTACTGCGTGGATAGACAATCTTAAAACTAAAGATTTTTATTGTATAATTTACTCGATGTATTACAGTTTAGCAATAAAAGTTTTGAAGGCAAAAAATTAAAATTCACTTTATTAGTTAATGTAATGTAATTTACGATCATTTTCTATTCATTCCTTATTCTTGTTACACGTTGCTCTATTATGTCCTTTTTGTCTGCAATTTTAACACGTTTTACCTGTATCTTTTTCAGTTAGGTTATTATTTGTATTTTTAGATCCATCAACTTCTACTGGTTGTAAATGACGATGTTTCTTAAATTATTTATCTTGAATTTCGATTGTACTCTTTACTCTTTCAGGAGGTCTTCCTTTTTGTGTTATTATTACAGGATTTCTAATATCAAATTCAACATTCTCTAATTCTTGCTTTTGTTGCTTATCTAAAATAAAATTTTAGCAAATGCCTATTAATTCATTATATGAATTAGTATCTAATGCTAAATTAAGAGCTTTTCACATTATGCCTTGTGCACGATCATATTTCCGCCGATTTTCATTAATTTCTTGTAATATTGATGTATAAGTATTAGGATTGCAAATTCTTTTCATATACCCAAAATTATATATTTAATGCTCATCAATATTTAGATTTTGGGTTGAATCTACACATAAGTAATATACAATTGTTACCAAATTTTATCTCCATTTTTTTTAATTATATCATCCTTATACCATCTCATTGTAATAAGTCCTATATGCTATTTAGCTTGTAAAGAATAACGTAATACTTTATAGAAATGCCTACACAGGTAACCATGTGTTATAAAAAGGTTACATGTACATTGATGAGATCCGTTAGCCATTAATATGATATATTGATTTTTTGAATTAAATGATATAATTACTTTTCAAATCTCTAGTATTTGTTCACATCCAATCGATAAAAAAATATCAGCAAAATGGCTCTTTGCAAGTTCATAATTATCCTCAAGCATTCCTTCATTATAGTCGACATTTACTTATTCCTATTCTATAAGAAAGATAATTAGTGTAAAAAAACTATTTTAATGATCGGTTAATTAAAACTTTTTACCTGTAATATAGAATTGAGATTTGTAATATCCATTTTAAAAGTATCATAAAAAAACACTCTTGCATTTGTTTACATACGACAAAAACCATTCTTAGTAATAGATATTGTGAAACTATTATCTCAATAGATTTAAAAAACGTTTTAGGTACTGTCGCAAGTCTAACCATAGGAATTTGATCCTTATATTCTTCCATTCTTACATATTCTGACTTCTTATCAAGTAAATCTTGAATTTCTTTAACTAATTCTAAAAGTGAAGAATTAGATTTAATACAGTCATGAACTTTTTGATTTAAACTCTTCACATGCTGTGTGCTATTTGCACCTGCAGTAAACTGATTATTTGTGTAATATATAGCCCATTTAGTTTTATACAGATCCAATTGTCATATTATATATTTGGTTATACTTGAGTACTTTAATTTTAACATTTCTCGAAGATTTCTGGAATCATAGTATTGCTGCATTTAAAAAAGTCTTTACAAAAGTTTTGAAATTCATCAGAATCTAATTTGTTTCGAAGATTTTTCTTTAAGTTAAGATCAATATGAAATAGGCATAAGCAATGAATAGAATCAGAAAACTCTGAAGATATAGCATTAATCATTGCCGGATCAGAGTCTAAATACTACTTTTAGTATTAGGTTTCCTGTACACTTATTAATCATTTTTAATGCCCAAACAAAACTATCTTCAGATTCATCTTCAAGTAAAGCTGTTACAACAAGATGGGTTCAGTTACAATTATTAATGATAGCAAAAAGTACACTACCATATTGTATTTATTTATACGAGAAGTAGTATCAAAAAATAGAACATCATGAAACCTGGTCTATAAATATTATTGTTCAGGTAATAACCACAATAATCCATATAATTGCCATTCGGTCAGTCCATTAAATTTAGCTTCTATAAACCATTGAGGATCTTCAGCACGTTTTGAATATAAATGTCGCATAAGATCAGATGCATCAAATTTAACTATTGTCATTAAATGATTTTTCGTGTCTTGAATGGCATTATAAAGATTTTTTTGGTGAATGTTTCTTCCTGGAAATTTACCCTTCAATAATTGTCCAATGTTTCATGCACTTATCATCCCATGTTTTACACAAAATTCAATAAATTGAATCATATTATTATTAAGTTTGCGATATTTTTCAATAGTAGTTGTAGGCGAAGGTACCATTAGATGATTATGTTGATCTTCAACCATTATAAAAGTAATCATTAAGGATGTTTTAGAATGATTTTCATTAACTCTTCACTTACAATTAATAGCTCTGGATTGTCAATTTCGCTGATTAACAGGATTTAAAATCTTTTTTGCTTAGTATTTTCCTGCACAACTACATTCCCAATTAATTCTGTGTAAAATTTTATTACCTCCTTCTACTGAAGTATCAGTACATTTCCTATGAATACTAAATCCTTTCTCCAACCCATAATCATTAAGAAATTTTTTAGCATCATCCTAAGTTTGAAAAGTTTATCCTAAATGTAATTTAAGTAAAAAGGAATCGTTTTCATCATTTGAAAAATCAGTATCGCTTTCTTGTAGATTACCTATTAACGATGGTTCATTTGATCTAGGATCAGATATAGAAATATTACTATTAACAGAAGATGAAGCTAGAGTAGATTTATCTATCTTAAGTAAAAATTGAACTATAGGTTAAAATGAAAGGGTAAGAAGCGTAAATGTGTAATACAAGATAGCAATAAAAGTAGGAATGAAGGTCAAAGTGTAAAATTGTTCATGTAGTACAAGAGTAATACAAGCCACTAAATAATAAAGTTAAAATTGAATAAAGTTCATGCGGTGAAGCGTTAAACCCACCAAAATAGGAGCAAAGACTAAAAAAGGTCCAAAATACTATATAAGCCATTAAAATAGAGAAGTTAAAGTGTAAAATAAAATTTGTGTAGTAAGGTATCAAACACGCCACCAAAAAAAGAAGCAACAGCTAAAAAATGCTCAAGTATTACAAGCCGGTGAAGTTCAAAACCAAAAATATTATAACTCAAAATGAAAAATATAGAGTTAGAGCAAAGTAAAAGTAAGGTTAAAGCGAAAAATATATTCAAGCCATTAGAATCAAAGTAAAAAAATCATTTATTTAATTTTAAACAATACAATTACGAGATCACACAATCACGAAAGAATCATGAACAATAGAACAATACAATTATGGGATTACGCGATCACAAAAGAACTATGATTAAGTAAATACGTGACTGATTTTATGTATCACGTGACTGACCGGTAATTTTACCCTCCAGTAAACGTAGTTATTTTCTTTTTTTAATTTTAAAAAAAAAACTTTTTTTTATGTTTTTTTTTAAAAAAAGATTTTTTTTTGTTTTTAAAATAGTAAAAAAAATGTATAATTTGTTTTTTTATATATTGTTACCCAACTATTGATTAGGCGGACTGAAACACGTAATCAATTGAGTAGCAGCAAGATTTAGCT